GGCTGACAGATATTCTTCTTTACCATTAGCAGCTGGACTCGTTAGACCATCCTGTCTAGAGTCTGAGAGCAGGGAGAGAGAAGATTAGCAGTAAATGTTATGTTTCCATAAATGGCTTTTGTGTGAGTGGTTGTATCGTCTATTTTTTTAAGCTAACATCCAAATCAGAGAGTAATATAAGCAGTAGGGACTGGGCTCAACTGCAGTGGGTTAATCAGTGCAGCTAGCGCTGTCAGGATCCTCAGGGAGAACATTTTTTTAGCACACAACTAGAACTCTGGTGAATGAGCTCTAATTTATTTTTATTTTTTAATCCATGGAGGGAAACCTTTAAAATTACAGTATAGGAAAGGATCTGCTCTTTCAAACAGAAAACGTAAGTTATATGTTTTCACAGATACCAGGCTGAAAAACAATAAAATCTGGGGAGCAAGTAAAGCTACATTTTTCCCAAAGTGAGATCTCAGATGCGGTTTTGTTTGTTTGTTTTTTTGTTTTTTCGGGTTTTTTTGAGGAAGATTGGCCCCGAGCTAACATCTGTTGCCAATCTCCCTTTTTTCTTTTTTTTTTCCCTTCCCATAGCCCCAGTATCTAGTGGTATGTCCTGGTTGCAGGTCCTTCTAGTTCTTCTATGTGGGATGCCACCTCAGCATGGCTTGATGAGTGGTGAGTAGGTACGAGCCCAGGATCCAACCCGGCCAACCCCAGGCCGCCGAAGCAGAACAAGCAAACTTAACCAATACACCACCTGGCCGGCCCCACAGATGCAGTTTTTTAAAAACTGATTAGACTTTATCTAAATCTGTTGGTGGTAGAGTATTAGGTTACTGAATTTTGTTAATTACTACCTGGGACATTTTCAAACAAGGTAAAGCGCGTTAGGAATATGTATTAGTGAATACAAGCGTATATTGGCGGCCCCCAGCTTATGGCTGAGCTGTCTCTTCAAGAATTCAGTAAAGCGATCTGGAATCATAACTGCCAAGCCAAGCAGAAATTCACCTGCTCTGGAGTACAGGATTTTGTGTGGCAATAAGCATTTTTAATTAAGTTTCCCAAATTTGGAACTGAATCTGTAAACATGTGGCAGATTGAGCTAGCACATCCAAACACCATTGGCGCTTTGGAGGAAATATGGCTTTTAAAAAAATTGGACGGTTAAGCTGAGAAAAATCCAGCTGTGTTTTACTTAACATTGCACTATCAGAGTTCTTTGACTCCTTTTTCTTTTTCTTCATCAGTGTTTCCAGTGGTGTGGGTGTTGACACCCTATCCACCAACCCTTCACTTTTGTCTTTTAAGACTCATTTCAGGTAGGGGTGTGGTTCAAGCAATATAATACCCATTCACTGTAGCGAGTAATAGAAAGCCTCCCCTGCCTTGTAGTTTATCTCTTAAATAGGTTAGTAGCAGCAGGTAATCTTGATCGGCAAAGCAATTAGATTTTTAACTCTTACCTGTCACATTGCTAGAGGACCTGGAGTTTACACAGAAATCAAGATTGTCTGCTGACCTTAAAAATGTAAAGAATATGGTTTTCCTTAATTAAAAGTAAAATTGCTTCTGGGAGGAGTTTCCCAATTAAACCAAGAAATAGTCATATTGGAGCCCTGAATTATTCACACATGGTATTTGGGATGATGGGGGTTGGGGGATAAGGATACAGGGTTGGGAAGAGAACTTGGGCCAGTAGTCAAGGGATTCACAATGTCCACTTTGGACTAGGTTCCTGAAGATTGTTGTCAGATTGGACTGGGAAGAGTTGTCTTAAACTTGTATTATTCTCTCAATAAATCCACATTCTACTTTCCATTAGAGAAGTAAACTGTAGTGCCATACGAAACTGCTAAAACTCTCTAGTTAGCAGAGCTAAGAAAGATCAATTCATATGAAGGTATAGGAGGAGGGAAATATGATTTAGAGGGGACTTGGGGTTACTGATCCTATTATATGGAAATATTTGCACAGATAATGCTTCCCCCCAGACATTCCCAGGCTGCTTGATCTTCCTATTTACTGTAATGCTGCTTCTCTGGGAATTACTTCTGTCTTCTCAGAGACACTTTCTTCCCAATACAGGAAGGGCTTGCTTATTTATTCAGTAGTAATGTTGAACATATTACTGACTTGAGTATTCAAATCATGGGTGTGTGGGTGTAGCTGCGTATATACACACATATGTACATAAACGCTGAACAATAGGAGATTCTGAACTATGTATTAATAATTGAAATTTCAGTACCTAGGAGGAGTTTTGAGTTCTAATTCCAGATGGGTTGGTTGTAATATCTGTTTATGGCTGCACTTGGAAGTTAGACCTGAGTATTGAAATGAAATTTGTTTGGCATTAGAAATAGTGAATAAAGAGTTTTATGCAACTTTTTTTGTAAAAGAAAAAAAAAAACACGTGACCAGATAAGTTAATGCAAAATAATAGCTAGAAACATTAAACTAGAGTAAGCGCTGCACAAGAAATAGAACAGATGTGAGAGGAAGATTGTACTCGCAAGGTAGGATGTAGCAAACACCTAGTAAGGGGGCTGGGAATCATACAGGAAGCAAGCTAAAGCTTCTCAGCTTTGTCCCCTAGTAGCATTAAGAGATTTTCCTCCACCCCCAGAGTTGCCTCCGTTTTTTTTCCTACAGCCTTACTCTGAGAAATTGTTAATGGGAATGGGTAGGGGCCTTGCCATTTCTTCCTTTCTGTCTTAAAATGGTCACGTTTGCAGAGCATGTTCCTTGAGTCCTTCAAGCTGCAGCTTCTCCCTGCTGCCTTTAGCTCTAATCTCTTTATAGGTGTAGCACCATGGCAACAGGCCCAGCCTGGAGCCCAGGAACCTTGTTTGTGTTACCTGAGGGGCTGGATGCAGCCTGAGGAAGAGAAGAAGGAATATTACCTATCCTGCAGCCTATTTGGAAGATGATTTCAAGTTCTGTTGTTTGTGTTTCTGTTCTGCTTCTGTTGAAGACTTGAAATTACACCTGGAAAACATTTATCCACAGATGTTATCAGTAACCAAAGGCAGCAAGGAAGCCATCTTCTATTGGTTCTTGTCTTCTAAACAGAGAGTTGTTTTCTGAGATGTAGTTCAGAAAGTGATTTGCTATACTGTGACATGTGGCACCGCTATGATTTGGGGTTGCACTGCCAGGTGGCTGTACAATTGCTTCATGTAGGTAGACATTTATTTTATTTGAAATAAAATTAATTTATGTCTTAGAATATTTTCCTAGAGAATTTAAAAACTGAGTAAGCCTTTTGTCTTACCTCCTTCTGCTTTAAATATGCCTTCATCTTTCCTGTTAAGAGGCTTACTCCCAGAGCATGAGAGGCTTTTCTCCTCCAAGCAGCTCTTCCTGGGAAAAATGGGCTGGAATTGTTATTTCCTGTGTGTTTAAGAAAGATTACAGTATCCTGTTGCCTCAACCAGGCTTCCTATGAAGCATACTGGGCAAGGTTGTACGGTAATTACATTAAAGGAATAAAATTGTTTTAGCATTTAGTTATTTATAGTTAATGTGCTGTGTTTACAGTGTATAATGTGTCATCGTCTTGTCCAATAGAACAAAAGGAAATAAATGTGGAGCTGTTATGTTTTTATGTACAAAACATTAGATGGCTTTTGTGTATACTTTGTAATAACAAGGGTAAATATAATTATTGACTTTTTGACCTTGAAAAGACTGTTGAATATCAGAACACATTTTTCAGTCTAAACATTAAATGGTGGTTGGTTTTTTTGAGTGTGGAAAGAATGGACGAAAATCCTTATTGCTTAAGATGTTTCTTACTGTATGAAGTTTGATTAAACAATGTTAGAATGGAAACGGAAGGGAAAGAGCAGCCTTTAGTGCTAGTTTCCTATATCTCATTACTTTATAATTTAAGTGAAAGCTACTCTGGCATTAAGTATTTCAGTTCCTTTTAATGTTAACATGGTTATTTCAAGGAAATGAATGAAGCTGCTTATTTAGTGTGTTTTACAAAAACAAATGTCTTTACAGAAGGCATTTCTTTTTATCCCTGTTACTAGGTACTTCTGCTTGAAATATATGTATTTAACTCTGGGTGTTTCTGTCAATAAATACTATAATTATTGAGTAAAACTGCATGGCAATCCAGTTCTGGATTTAAGAATATTGTGCTTGATATTGTTTGACTTCATTAATTCTTCCAAGGGGAAGGCAGTGAAGTACTAGCTCCTGTAGTGACAAGAATCATGATTCCCAGTATCCTTTTTTAAACAACTAGGAAACAAAATCAACCAGGATGCCTGAATGGTGTTGACAAAGATCTGTTCTTGTGGATGAGAGTTTGAACATTTCATTTGAGGGTGGGAGGTTTCTTCAAGGCGTTTTATTCTTTATTCATATTTATATATTAAAGCATGGATAGAACCAAAAGCTTGCCAGAAAAGAATTCCATACTGAGATGGAAATCAGACCTTTAAAGGCAGGGTCTTGTGCTGAGAAGTTTGGCTTTGATTCTGTGTGTGTATGCGTGTTTATTCTGCCAAACCAGAAAGAAACAGAATGAGGATTCAGCCACTACTATTTTGTCAATGATAGAAGAGGATAAAACTATCACATGAAATAAAAAAAGAAATAACATGTCTTTTGATAATACCTTTACATAAAAAAGATTGTATAAGATAACCTTGAATAGTATATATTTCTCCATCTCGAAGATAGGAATGAGGGTAAAAACAATGTCTGTGGTGGAGCTTTGAGCTCCCTTGAGTCTAGTAAAATTGTAGTACACGTTGTTCTTTATTGAAAAAAAAATGCATGTGTGTGCACACACCAATATATAATGTATATGGTTTACATGTGCCACATGAATATGGTTACTATTATTATTATAGATTAACTATTAATTTGCTCCTCATTTATTTTTCCTTAGGCATTTATACGTTTGTTGTTAGCCTCCATTGTATTAGACCTTCATTTCCTCCTTGGCCAAGTAGTTACACATTTCAAATATCTTTTTCTACCTTTAGGTCTCGTGGGCTGCCTAAACTAAAGGAGTCACGTTCTCATGAATCCTTGCTGAGCCCGTGCAGTGCAGTGGAGTGTCTGGATCTTGGTAGAGGGGAGCCTGTATCAGTGAAACCACTCCATAGCAGCATCCTTGGACAAGACTTCTGCTTTGAGGTAAAAAAAAAAAAAAAAGGGTAGAAAGAAGGAAGAGTAGTTAAACAACAAGCAGATTTTCTATCCAGTAATGTTGTGATCTCATTACTGTGGTGTTGATGATTTGATCATCTTAACTGGTTTTCAGTTGCTTAAAATTACCTACTTACACGGAAAAGGTTGGAAATCTATTAATCTAATTATATTGGCAATTAAAGTTATTAATGATGACTTCTTATTTCTATTGGCCTAGTCTGCTTTCAAAATAAATGGGTTCTTAGTATGTTCTTAGCAGGGGTGACAAGACGAACAACAAGTTATTAAACTAGTGTTTTATTTTTTAATATTGATAAAGATATCACCCAATATGTTTTTATTTTTCTCCTGAAAGCGTAAGCTCCAGATTTTAATGATTCTTTGAGGAAATTGACCAAAACCATAATTTTTCTAACTAAAACATGGGCAGTTCAAGATTTGGGACCATGTCTGATTTATTTTTGTAATCATCTGCACCTAGCCCAGTCCCTGGCACATTGCAGGTGCCTAATTTCTTGAAAGAGCAAATTACCCTTCACCAGAAAATTATGACTCTTACTTTTTATGAGGTAATTTCTCCCTCCCAAACTAGATGTACACAATTGGCCATTTGAAAATTAAATTTTAAAATAATATATGTAATTGTTAGGGTTAGGATTTGATTAATTAACACGAACTTACTAAGTAACTAGTGATGAGTCCTATGATAGATGTTGTAGAAGTTGAAAGATGTTTGATTCCTGTTCTTATGGACCTGCAGTATCCAACAGAAATATAAAGCAAGCCACATATATAATTTTAAATTTTATGAAACCCAAATATTATCATTTCAACATATAACTAATATAAAGTTATCACTGAGATTTTTTATATTCTTTTTTTTTTTTAAACTAAGTTGTCATAATCTGATATATATTTTACACTTAGAGCACATCTCAATTTGGGCTAGCTACGTTTCAAATGCTCACTAGCTACATGTGGCTTGTAGCTACCATATAATCTGATCTGATTCATTGAGTTACAGTCTGAGATTGAGTTAATATGTGAGCACACTTCAGCAATTTAGACAGGTCATTTATTGGTGTCCTATTTTATAAAAGTCACTTGAACGTTCCCATATTTGTGGAACTCAGTTCAGCAGGTTGTATACCAAGCCCGGTGTTAGGTACTAGGCATATACACAACATGTTTCATTTTCAAAGGACAGTGATAGTAATGGTCAGGCTAACTTAATAAATGACTGGAAATCAAATGACTGGTTGCCTAGTGGAGGAGAAATGGGTTCCCAAGACAGTAATTCAATATACATAACTTTTTTCAGTTTCTTTTAGTAGCCTTCTATAATATTGTAAGTGAAGGCAATCCTGAGAAGTTTGTTAAGCTGTTTTAGAGACTCGCTTCCCTTTTTAGTTATTTTTTTTCCTTTGCCCCCCCCCCAACCCCACCCCACAAAGCCCCAGTAGAAAGTCGTATGTCATAGTTGTACATCCTTCTAGGTGCTCTGTGTGGGATGCCGCCTCAGCATGGCTTGTGCATAAGTCCGTGCCCAGGATGTGAACTGGCGAACTCCAGGCTGCTGAAGTGGAGTGCACAGACTTAACTGCTATGCCACCGGGCCAGCCCCTTTTGGTTATTTTTTTTTATTTTTTGTGTGTGAGGAAGATCTGCTCTGAGCTAACATCTGCCAATCCTCCTCTCTTTTGCTGAGGAAGACTGGCCCTGGGCTAACATCTGTGCCCATCTTCCTCCACTCTGTATGGGACGCCACCACAGCATGGCCCGACAAGCGGTGCGTCGGTGCACGCCCGGGATCTGAACCGGCGAACCCTGGGCTGCCACAGCGGAGCGCACGCACCTAACCGCTTGTGCCACCGGGCCGGCCCTCGCTTTTGGTTATTTTTTATTAACTCGCTCAGAATTGAGCATATTCATTTACAGGTAGTTTAAGATGTGGCCTGAAAGATTTTTACTTTTGATGTTTTTTAACCTTAGGCCAATTTTAGCTTCCTGAGCTGAATTCTCAATGGTCTTTGTTCTCATACCTGGAGATGAGTGTGCATATTACCTAGATAACAAAGCAAAAAGCTGATGTAGATGTAGCTATAGATATCACAAAACTAGCAATTATCATTTTGGTTTCATGTAGTATGACTTGGGTTCATGGCATATCCCTAACACTTAGATGATACAACTAGGAAGATAGAGCCCCCAAACCATCTGTTTCCCTTTCCTTATCTCTAATCTTCGTGTTGAAGGTTACCTACTTAAGTGGCAGTAAATGCTTCAGCTGCAACTCCGCTTCAGAGAGAGATAAGTGGATGGAAAACCTTCGCAGGACAGTTCAACCAAATAAGGTAATAGTGGCTTTGAGTGTCTAAAAAATGTATAATTCTGTAAGCAATAAGTTGATAGAAGATAAATGCAGTAATAATACCTTAATTTTTATAGTTTTTAAAACGCATTTACGTTATGCTATTGTATGCTCAAAATAATCTTATTGCAGATATTATAATGATTTTACTAGTGTGCATAAGAAGACTCAGAAGTTAAGTGACTTGCCCAAGTCAGAAGCTAGCGCATGATAGAGATGGGACTAGAACACAAGTTTCTTAACTACTTAACCTCTATTTTATTTGCAGAAACTAGTCCAGTTACCACTAGGCTGGCTTTATGAGAACTTACATTACAGGATATTTTTTTAATCCAAGTAAAATAGAATGTATGTGACTTTCTAAGATTCTGATACATTCTTGTTTAGAGCTTGCTATTATTGTGAACAATGACATAGGAATCCCTTTTATTATTTATTGACTACTCTTAATAAAGTACATAGTCAGCATCACCTACTTTAAGAGGAAAATGTTGTCTGTCTGAGATTTCAGCTCTCAAACTCAACTTTGTTGCTTCCTTATAGGACAATTGCAGACGAGCTGAAAATGTTCTTCGTTTATGGATCATTGAAGCCAAGGACCTTGCCCCTAAAAAGAAATATTTCTGTGAACTGTGCCTTGATGATATCCTCTTTGCTCGTACAACCAGCAAGACCAAAGCAGACAATATTTTCTGGGGTGAACATTTTGAATTCTACAGCCTTCCACCTCTTCATAGCATCACAGTTCACATTTATAAAGATGTGGAAAAAAAGAAAAAAAAAGACAAGAATAATTATGTAGGGTTAGTCAACATCCCCACTGCCAGTGTGACTGGTCGCCAATTTGTAGAAAAGTGGTATCCAGTGAGTACACCTACACCCAACAAAGGAAAGACAGGAGGACCTTCTATTCGGATTAAATCACGTTTCCAGACTATCACCATTCTGCCTATGGAACAATACAAAGAATTTGCAGAATTTGTCACCAGCAACTATACCATGCTGTGTTCTGTCCTTGAACCGGTAATTAGTGTGAGAAATAAGGAAGAGTTGGCCTGTGCCTTAGTGCACATTCTTCAAAGTACTGGCAGAGCCAAGGTAAGAGGAAAAGGAGATTGTATTACCCCAAATCTCTTCCCTACCTTTTGTGAAGAAACAAACATATGTTTCCTGTAAAGAGCCAAATTAGAGAAATATACTTTGCTATTGGTGAAAAAAAAAAGAATTAAGAAGGAAACCTATTAGCAGTTCTTCGATCTAGAAAAGATGGAGATTATAAAACTAAAAAAGTAAGCTGGGGAAACCAACAAATATTTATTTACGTTCCATTTGTATGAAACATAGGTACCTCAACTAGCTCTTTATTGTCTGACAAAAGAAATGTAGGATTGGCATGATAATCCCACAATGCATTTAAGATTATTTATCTTTAGTTCTAGAGTGTGTTGTATGATGGTTTATTCCTTGCTATATTTTGTTTAAGTTAAGATTAATTGATGACTATATCCCCTAGTCACAGAAGGAGGTATTCCAGAAGCATGCTGGGCATTATCAAGAATCTTCATAGGGTTAAAATCTAAATTTGGAAATAAAATCGCAAGGGATGTTATATAAGCTGTTTCATGATAGCCTTGTCTCATTTCATCCTGGATAGAAGTAAAAATTCAGGAAGATGGAAAAAGAGAAATATGCTAATTGTTTGAAGAACGCCAATCAATTGATAGAGTCTTTGATCAGCCTGACTTATGAGGTATATTCACTTAACTAGGCTGAGTCTCCATTATATTATATGCAAATTAGTTGTGATAAAATTGTATTTTAGATCTAGAGGAGTTCACAGCTAGAATAATTTGTTTAGAACTAGACAATAAAGATAAATGTTTTTAAGATTTCTTGATACAAATCAGAGTATATCAGCATATTCAGTAGTTAGTTCCTTGTCTAACTACCTTCCTGTTGATTAGCTTTCTTGTGGTTGAATTTACTGATAATAATTTTGAGCTCTCTGGTGTTACAAAAGCCTACAAGTTTGGGGGCCGGCCTGGTGGCCTGGTGGTTAGGTTTGCGCACTCCCCTTTGGCAGCCCAGGGTTTGCTGGTTTGAATCCTGGCTGCAGACCGAGGCATCGCTCATCAAGCCATGCTGTGGCAGCATCCCACATACAAAATAGAGGAAGATGGGCACAGATGTTAGCTCAGAGCCAATCTTCCTCAGTGAAAAGAGGAAGATTGGCAACAGATGTTAGCTCAGGGCCAATCTTCCTCACCAAGAAAAAAAAAGCCTACAAGTTTGAAGTGAGGTGTCATTGGAATTTTAAGTCTCATCTTTGAAATTGTATGGATATGTTCTTTCTGCTCTTCAGTTGCTCAAGGTTCAAGGATTTATGTAGGATTTTTTTAACAACTTTATTGAGGTACAACTTTCATTCAATAAACTATACCCATTTAAAGTATAAAATTCAATGAGTTTTGACAGATTATGCACCCATGGAAACTACAACAAATAAGATACAGAATTTTGCCATCATCCCCCAAAGTCTCCTTCGGTCCCTTGGCATAAGAGTTTTAATAGTGATTCCTAGGTCTACGACTCTTTTACACTGTTGAGCGTCCCCAGAGTAAATCCCATTAATGTTTAAAATGCTTTATTTTAAAGAAAAATAAATCAGCGTAGTCCCTGTTTTTGGTTTTGGAGACTTTGAAATATCCAATGAATATATAACATTAAAAATATATGATGTTATCTCATTTCAAACTGAACAACAATGAACATTGATTTTTATATGAAGTTCTTTAAGACTGTTGAGAAATGAAGCAGCTATTTCTTAAGGGCTTTATTTGTCCTTATGCCTTTCTTCTGGATGGATGGGTAAACGAATGGATAGATGGAGAGAAAGAGAGAGTCAGCCTAGAAGATAAGTTCAAGTGTTGGGTTCAAGAAATTCCTGGGGCTGGCCCCATGGCATAGCGGTTAAGTGCATGCACTCCGCTGCTGGCGGCCCAAGTTTGGATCCCGGGTGCGCACCGAGGCACCACTTGTCGGGCCATGCTGTGGCGGTGTCCCATATAAAGTGGAGGAAGATGGGCACAGATGTTAGCCCAGGGCCAGTCTTCCTCAGCAAAAAGAGGAGGATTGGCATGGATGTTAGCTCAGGGCTGATCTTCCTCACAAAAAAAAAAAAGAAAGAAATTCCACGTTGATACTGTGAACCGATTTGTAGCTATTATATATTGAACACCTAATATGTGCCAGAAACTGTTAAGTGCTGAGAATGTAGAGGTGAATAAAAATAGACACTGTCTTGGCCTAATGGGGCTTACAGTCTTCTGGGGAAAACAGATATTAATCAAGTAATTACAGAAATAAATGTGTGATTACAGTGAAAAGTGCAGAGAAAAAAAAAGATAAATGATGCTATGACAGTGTGGATTAAGGGGACCTGACTAATGGGGTTCAGGGGCGATGTTGGTCAGAGAAGGCTTCGCTGAGGAAATAATCTGCAAACTAAGATCCAAAGGATCCGAGGATTTAACTCCATGACACTGGGGGTTGGGAGCAAGGGTGGGAGCCAGGGCAGAACCGAGAACAGCATTTGCAAAAAGCTTTGTGGTGAACAGACAATATTGTGTGTTAGAAAGGATTTGATGTATTCAAGGACCTAAAAAGTAGGCCCTTGAAGCTGGAGCAGAATGCAGTGAGAATGGTACAAGATGAGGCTGGGAAGGAGACAGAAACCAGAAAATGTAGAGACTTGTAGACTGCATTCAGAATTATGGTCCTTGGGGACTAGCCCGGTGGCCTAGCAGTTAAGTTTGCGAGTTCCGCTTCAGCAGCCCGGGGTTCCCTGGTTCAGATCCTGGACACAGACCTACTCACTGCTCATCAAGCCGTGCTGAGGCGGCGTCCCATATAGAAGAGCTGTAACTCTACAACTATGATACACAACTATATACTGGGGCTTTGGGGAGAAAAAGGAAAAAAGAGGAAGATTGGCAACAGATGTTAGCACAGGGCCAATCTTCCTCAAAAAAAAAAAATAATAATAATTATGGTCTTTATCAAAAGTGCAATGGAAAACCTTGAAGGAATTTTAAACTTAGGGCTGGTGACACCTAAGATTTTATCATGACTTGACTTTTTTCTTTCGAATGAATCTGGTAGCTTTAGTTTTAAAGCAGCATTCCCAGGATGTCTGATGTTTCATCCGTCTCTTCTAATGTATGTTATCTATTCAGTTGCTTTCTGCCTGATTGAACATTATTCTACCAGGATTTTCTGACCGACTTGGTGATGTCTGAGGTGGATCGTTGTGGAGAGCATGATGTCTTGATCTTCAGAGAGAACACCATTGCCACCAAATCCATTGAAGAATACCTCAAGTTGGTGGGACAACAGTATCTTCATGATGCATTGGGTATGGAGAAGAAAAACATCTGTTTTCTTTTCTTTCCCTTTTAATTTTAAGTTATTTCACCCTCCTGAGACAAACTGAGCTCGAATTCTCCATGTTATGCAGTTGTAGCTGACTAGAGTGTTAAAATTTGAGTTTCAGCTGTAAGAAGTCTCTGCAGTACTCACCAGTGGAGGAACAACAGATTAGTTTACTACAATATGTACAGCAAGAGAAAGCCCAGCACACCCCCAGGCCCTCAAGTTCCTGACTCTGAGATACCCAACAATATTAGTGGGTATCACTACTAGAGCTGAGGTGACCTGTTTCCCCCAAGGTGCTGGTTATTTATATCATGATATAAATATATTACCTATGTCTTGAAAGTGTTAAAATTTGCTGTCATGCATCAAAAATGAAGGCAATTGCCAATTCCCACAACTCCCAGTTTCTGCCTTTAAGACCTCCAGAATTTTTAACAATAACTAATTTTTGTCCAGTCAGTAGTTCTTGGTGACTAGGCCATTCACTTGCAGTTCCAGATTTGGTCATGAAATTCAGGCGTTAACCACTAGAGTAAGGCACTATGCTGGGCACTTTGATGTACATAACGATAAAGCAGATGGGAGTTCCTTGAAAAACATGGTCATTTCTTTTATCGCCATATCCCCAATGCTTCACACAGAATGGAGAGCAGCAATATCATATAGAAACATAATGTGAGTCACATGTGAGTAACTTAAATTTTCTAGTAGTCACAGTACAAAGAGGGTAAAGAGAAACAGATAAAGTTAATTTTAATAACATTTTGTTTAACCCAATATATCCAAATATTGCTTAACAGGTTATCAGTATAAAAATTATTAATGAAGTATTTTACTTTTCATACTAACTCTTTGAAATTCAGTGTGTATTTTACATTTATTACACATTTCACTTTGGACTAGCCACATTTCAAGTGCTCAACAGTCACATGTGACTATCAAGAGTAAACAGTAAGATATGTCGAATGAATGGATAGACTTATGCCCTCAAGGAGCTTACAATATAGGGAGATAAGAAAGATAAGAATATCCCTATAACCAAAAAGGGAGAGAAATCCTGTTGTTTTTCAAAGAATTAAAGAAATTGATTCTAGCTGATAGTATTATAAAATTTCCTGTGTGAAATACATTTTGGTGTGTGTGTAGCTTGAAGCATAGAAAGGTTATATAAAAACAGATTGGACAGGGAGGTAGTAGGGATTAGTGCAGGGGAAAGAACAACATGAAAAAAAAGGCAGAGAGAACAGGATATGTATGGAGTAAAACCAGTTAACTGAAAAATGAAGTGAAAAAGGCAAGTCAACAAGAACAAAAATTAGAAAAACAATTAGAACCAATTTGTTGAGAGCCTTGAATGCCTGAATGAGGAGTTTAGATTTTATAGTAATCATTGGCAAGCCACTGAAAGTTTTGAGCAACGTGTTTAGTCAATAGAATCAGTTTAACAGAATGGTTAAAATGGGTTGGTGAAGAAAGCAACTGAAAGCAGAGACCAGTTAAGAAGGTGTTGTGATAAGGAAGGCAAGAAATAACAAGACTCTGAATGAGGTAGTCACCAAGAGTAAGAGAAAAGGTGGATCTTTTAGGTGGAGAAATATTAAAGAAATTGAACTGTTAGGACTTAGTTTATGGGAATTATAGGAATCTGGTGGCGGGTGGGGAGAAATTTGGGGCCTTTGTGAGTGACTAGAAGGATGATGAGATTCTTAGAAATAGGGAACATAGAAGTAGTAGGCTTGAAAGATGGGAAATGATATTTCCACTTCACATGTATTCAATTTGAAGTTCTAGTAGGAAGTCCCAGGGATTCGCAGTAGGAAATCCCAAGACATCTGTCTAGCTAGCTCTTGGAAAGGGGATAAATGAAGCTACAAGATTACCAGAGGAGGAAGAGAACAGGGCCAAAGACAGATCTTACAATGTCTCTGGGTTTATGGTGTAAAAGGAAGAAGAGGTGATCAGAGAGAGAGAAAATGTGCACCAGCATGCAAAAAAAGAAAGAAAATCAGGAAAATACTGAGTCCTAGAGACCAAGAGGGAAGAAAGTATCAATAGAGTCAGAGATTGAGGAAGGTGAAGGTAAAAAGAAAAAATGGCTATTGCATTTGGCAACTAAAAGGTCACTAGTGATGGCTGGGACTGCTGTGAGGAGGACAGGAGCCAGGCTGTACAGGGCAAAAAGTGAATGACTGCTCAAGAAATAGGACCACTGTGTTTACGTGAAGTAGACTCACTGTAGTGGCGATTAGTTCGTACTCTGCAGAAGTAGATTTTTTTCTCTTCCTGCTTCCTATCTTCATATTCTTTTCTTTTCTCTCAGTCATGTGCTTTAGTTTAAGATCTAATGGAAATTTGTGAGAATAATTAAAATGCATTTTCATTGACATTAGGAAAGGTACAGAGAGGTTCATGGTCTTACATAAAGAACTTATTACAGTCATATCATACATTATATATCTCATGGTTTGCTTTAATGATTTGTATTGCCTTATAAAAGGCAATGATGAAGCATTTCAAACAGTATTCTCCATTCTGTGGACATAAGGGTAAATATTTGTTGACCATCTACTTCTTAAAAATCAAATATTTGTATTCTACCTTCAATGTGCTAAACAGGATTCCTAAATAATTTCCGAAGTACAAAGTAGATACGGGTCCTTTGATAGGACAGTTAATAATTAGCTTATTGGCTCAACAAGACATGAAAATTAATTCAGTGAGCATGGGAAGAAATTCAAGTAACCCCATAAAGATCTCTATTATCATATTTGTAACCCAGGAGCAAGGGCCACAGTGGTGAAAATGGCTGCTGCTTCCAAGAGCATAAATAAAATTAATTGGTAAGCTTCTTCAGGACAGAGATTCTCCTGTGTTCTTCCCATTTAACTCCTCGTATTTCTAGTTAACGTTAACATTTTAGACTCTCAATGGCTGATTTTTTTCTCCCATATTTTACTTTTATGACAGAAATTCTATTTTGAAAACAGCTTACTGGGCCGGGCCACTGGTGTAGCGGTTAAGTGCGCGCGCTCCGCTGCTAGTGGCCCGGGTTCGGATCCCGGGCGCCCACCAACGCACCACTTGTCAGGCCATGCTGTGGCAGCGTCCCATATAAAGCAGAGGAAGATGGGTACAGGTGTTAGCTCAGGGCCAGTCTTCCTCAGCAAAAAGAGAAAAATTGGCATGGATGTTAGCTCAGGGCTGATCTTCCTCACACACACAAATAAAAACAAAACAACTTACAGAATGTATCTTGGCACCAGTGTAAATTTAGACTTATTTTATATGGTTCAAGATAGTAATAAGTGATTTTTCAAATAGTAACCTTGAAGAACTGCAAAATTTTCAGTTACCTGAGAAAGATTCAATTATTTTCATCATATGATACTGTACTTGTTATGACAGGAGCCTCTCATAATACAATTGTGGAAAATTTCATAATAAGTATTAAATAAAAAGGCCTTTACAGTGAAGTCTCAGTAAACCAAAAAAATTAAATTAGGGGCCGGCCTGGTGGCGCAGCGGTTAAGTGAGCGCACTCTGCTTTGGCAGCCCGGGGTTCGCAGGTTCGGATCCCAGGCGCGCACTGATGCACCGCTTGTCAACCCATGCTGTGGAGGCGTCCCATATAAAGTAGAGGAAGATAGGCACGGACGTTAGCCCAGGGCCAGTCTTCCTCAGCAAAAAAGAGGAGGATTGGCATTGGATGTTAGCTCAGGGATGATCTTCCTCACAAAAAAAAAAAATTAATAAGTACTGTTGAGCACTCTGAATAATTAAAGTTTTGTTATATTTCATACACTTTGGGCAAAAAAATAGATGCTATTTCCAGACTACCTGAAGAATTCTCAGAGAAAATTGAGTTTAAAGTTGCCAGTCATATACAACATCTATCTGCTTTTTAGCCAGTCTTCATTTATCTTGATGAAAAGCATTACTATTTACTGCACAGACTCTGCCTCAGTTAGACTTAAAGTTAAATCCTCTATCTGTTAACCCCTTTTACCTTTCTGATTGAAATCAGATTGCATGTTGATGTCCTGTGATGCACGGGAAATCCCGTTTGTGAGATATAGTAAAGAAGTCCCTCAAAAGGCCTAATTTCCATTCTTGGTGGCAAAGGCAAATTTATTTTTAGCAATAATTATGTCCATACCTATTGACTTATTTCTACACATGCATGTTGGATGCTAGATAGTAATGAGTTAATGATTTACATAGAAAACACACCATAGAACATTCTAGGCACAAACACATTTAAACAACATTGGCTCTGATTTTTTTCAAAGTCAGGAGAGCAATTGTAAATGAATTATTGAATCTGTCTCAATTTTTGGTCAGGTAAGGAGCTTCTAGGTACAAATCTATAAAAGGTTCACCTTTCAATGTGGTACTTTCCACATTATCAGATGTAGATTATAGTTTCATAAGTGAAAATAATTTTCTCAATTTTGGAGGATCTTAAATACCTCTTAATCAGGTAAAAAAAAACTTTAGATAGTTAATTTAGGTCTGGACCCTTGAGTTATTTATTTGTCTCTTGGAGAATAAAAGAAAAATATTCTTAAAATTCATGAGTTATTTATTAATGTTAGTATTGTTTCCCTAGAATAGGTATAACCTTAAGGAACTCACTAAACAGAATATTTATGATATAAATTTAGAGGCGGGCCAATTTTTACATGGAGGATTTGACACTGATAACTTAGTTTTAAATTTAGGTACTTTTTCTTTTTTTTTTTTTTAATTTATTTTATTTATTTATTTATTTTTTTGTGAGGAAGATCAGCCCTGAGCTAACATCCATGCTAATCCTCCTCATTTTGCTGGGGAAGACCGGCTCTGCGCTAACATCTATTGCCAATCCTCTTCCTTTTCTTTTTTTGCCCCCAAAGCCCCAGTAGATAGCTGTATGTCATAGTTGCACATCCTTCTAGTTGCTGTATGTGGGACGCCACCTGAGCATGGCCGGACAAGCGGTGCGTTGGTGCGGGCCCGGGATCGGAACCTGGGCCGCCAGCAGCGGAGTGTGCGCACTTAACCGCTAAGCCACGGGGCCGGCCCTAGGTACTTTTTTAAATGAGGTAAATTGTGTGGAAGCACATAGCATGGGAGACATTGAGAACATGTCAAATACAAATCTTGTAAGAATTGGTAAACATTTTTAAAAGCCTTTTACTAATTTTGGTCATATCACGTTATGAAGTTATTTTAAAATTGCATAGTTTGTATATAATAATACTTATTGTATAGAGCCCCTACTAAGTGCCAGGCACCATATCAGACACTTTTCTGTTCATGCATTATTTCGGATTCTCACCGTGCTCTATAGGGTGGGAGTTATTAACGCCATTTTGAAACTCGGACTAGTTAAGTGGCTTTTCAAGGCCCCACAGTCAGTTAAGTGATGGGTCCAGGATTTGATCCGAGATCTGTCTGGCTCCAAAGCCGTTACTTTTTCTGTATACCACTTAGTTCCCTGTTCTCCAAGCATTCTTCTTCCAAATAATAGCTTCCTATCCTCTATCATAGCTATTTTTTTAAATCCTTCATTTACCTCAGTACTAACCATTTTAATAAAAAATGCTCTTTATATTGCTGCTTCTACTTAATTTTGCAGAAATTATTGTTCTCTTTCATGAAATGTATTATAACAAGCCTGAACCTCGAGTAATACAAGCAGATTTGAAAGGATCTCTGAAAGATCTATGCCTCTTTTCTAAAGACCTATAAAAACCCAAGAATACACACTACCATCTTGGATAAATATTTATAAAGCACCTGCAATGCTGTGGGAGCTATTTGATAGGCTGGAGATTTGAACATGAATAAAGCCTGGTCCCTGACCTCCAAGGGTATTCATCCTAGAGCTGAGATAGACATGTGAACAAATAAGCACAAAGTAGTGTGAAGCGTCGAAGAGGAGAACATGTACAAGGTGTAGTGCATAGTGGAGGAGTAACAGATGAGGTAAGGATTTATTCTTTCAGGGAATATTGGGCATATCTCTATAGAGGACAGGACGTATGAACAGGGCTTCTACGCTAAATATATTTGGAAAAACGTATACAGATTATATAAAGAGATGTTCTGCTACAATTTTGTGCTGTGTTGAACGATTATCCCCATTACAAGAGGTAAGCCTAGAGACCCTTACTCGAATCTCTGGCACCAGCATTAGTACTTAAACCCTTAGGTGAGCTAGTCAATCAAGCTTGGGTTATTTTTTCTTCTAAAATGGTAACATTATTTATCCTGGTAGAGGGGCCTTATAGCAAAATTAAATATATTGGTGATTTCAGATAAAAGATTTAAAGTTATATCATTGTTTACAGTAGTATCATTATTATTTTTATAAATGCCATGATCATAATGTTAGTGATTACTATTTTTGCACTTCCAGGATAAGGAAAATAAACAAGATACATGGAAAGTGGTGACTCTTGGGTTCCAAAGCAGTAGCCCTTCGTGAACAATCTTTTGTGCCCTCCATGTCAGGTCTCAGAAAGAATTCCTCATTATACACTTTAGGACAGAAATCCTAAATCCTTTTATTCTATTCAGGAAGACATTATTTATAGTTATACTGTCTGCCAACTTCTCTCTTCAATAGGGGAGTTCATCAAAGCTTTATATGAGTCAGATGAGAACTGTGAAGTGGATCCCAACAAATGTTCATCTAGTGAACTGATAGACCATCAGAGCAACCTGAAAATGTGCTGTGAGCTGGCCTTCTGCAAGATCATCAACTCTTACTGGTGAGCTGGTATCAGTGTTTCATGTCCTGCATATGGAACTTAAATTTTTCCATATACAAGTCAACACAGTGTTAACTGTTATTTCCCAACCAAAGGAAGGGCTTAGGGGAAAATTGAAAGTTTTCCTAATACGGTCCTATCTAAAATCTAAATCTCCATTATAAACAGAAGTACCTCTGAACTGACTATCTATATAAATGTACTATTTCCCCAGAATATTAACACCACATCCTCTTTTTTGTGTGTGTGTGTGAGGAAGATCAGCCCTGAGCTAACATCCTTGCTAATCCTCCTCTTTTTGCTGAGGAAGACTGGCTCTGAGCTAACATCCATTGCCAATCCTCCTCCTTTTTTTCCCCCAAAGCTCCAGTAGACAGTTGTATGTCATAGTTGCACATCCTTCTAGTTGCCGTATGTGGGACGTGGCCTCAGCATGGCCGGAGAAGCGGTGCGTCGGTGCGCGCCCGGGATCCGAACCCGGGCCGCCAGTAGCGGAGCGCACGCACTTAATCGCTAAGCCACAGGGCGGGCCCAACACCACATCCTCTTAACACCAAAAGTATTTTAATGGCTTTCTAAAATATTTACTAGTGTTAAACAGATGTGTTAATGATTTTTTATCATTGCTCCAACCCCAGCAACTGGTGAGATTTTGGAAGATTTTTGATGAACAGTCTTTAGAGAGATTATGGTGGGGAGCCTCATGCCATTTTCCCACTTCGTAAAACTAAATTTATCCTAATCTCTGAGTTTTGTAGCTTTGGGTTTCCAGTTTCTATCCAGGTTTCTGTGAATTTTTCTCCACCTCTCAGCCACAGTCAGACATAGCTCTCTCCACTGGGCCCTCCTTATAGCCTAGCTCTAGAGCAGAGTATGTTGAGTCAGAGTGAGATTGCTTATGCTTTCGAGGATTATGGCACTTTTGTATTTAGAGATCTGGATCTCTTTTCCTCCCCCAGCGTTTTCCCTCGTGAGTTGAAAGAAGTGTTTGCATCATGGAAGCAGCAGTGCCTGAACCGCGGCAAGCAAGACATCAGCGAGCGGCTCATCAGTGCCTCATTGTTTCTCCGTTTTCTGTGCCCAGCCATTATGTCTCCCAGTCTTTTCAACCTTATGCAGGAGTATCCTGATGACCGCACGTCTCGGACTCTGACTCTAATTGCCAAAGTCATTCAGAACCTGGCTAACTTTGCCAAGTAGGTGTCGCTACCATAACCACTTTAAAAAAAAAAAAACAACATTATTTAAAAAGTAAGTGAGACCTGGGGCTAGCCCCACAGCTTAGTGTTTAGGTTCAGTGCTCTCCGCTTCGGCAGCCCAGGTTCACAGGTTCAGATCCTGGGTGCAGACCTACACCACTCGTCAACCATGCTGTGGCAGCAGCCCACATACAAAATAGAGGAAGACTGGCACAGATGTTAGCTCAGGGCTAATCTTCCTCAGCAAAAAAAAAAAAAGAGAGAGAGAGAGACCTAAAATTTAGATGGTGGAGAGCCTCATTACTCATGTTACAAGATTTTCCTTATGGTATTATTAAAAATAGCAAAAAAAAATGGAAACAAGTATTCACTTTATAGAGGAATAATTACGTAACCTATGATATATACATTCAATGGAATATTTGCAGCCATTACAAATAGTGTTTACAAAGAACCAATAATATGGAAAATGATGAAGATATATTGAATGAAAAATGCTATTAAAAACTTTAGCCAGGGGCCAGCCCAGTGGCCTAGTGGTTAAGTTCACATGTTCCACTTCGACAACCCAGGGCTCATGAGTTCGAATCCCAGGCACAGACCCACGTACTACTCATCAAGCCATGCTGTGGCTGCGTCCCACATATAAAAAATAGAGGAAGATTGGCACAGATGTTAACTCAGGGCCAATCTTCCTCACCAAAAAAAAAACACAAAACCTTTAGCCAAAAAAAAGACAGGATACCAAATGGTGCATATCCCAGCAACATGAAGACACAAAAACCTAAATATACAAAAGTTGGGAAGAACAATCAGACAAATTCTATGATTATATTGTCTAAGATAATTGGCCTGACTTCTTCAAAAAAGTCCGTGTCATGCAAAATGAAAAAGATGGAGGGGATTGTTCTAGATTAAAAGAGACTAAATACAATGTTTGAATCTTAACTGGATCTGAATTGGAAAAAAAATCTACAAAAATCATTTTGGGGGCGATTGGTGAAATTTAAATATGAACTATATATAAGATTTATGAGTAATGTTTTGTTTGGTTTGGTTTTTTGGGGGGTGAGGAAGATTCGCCTTGAGCTAACATCTGTGCCCGTCTTCCTCTAATTTGTATGTGGGATGCCTCCACAGCATGGTTGATGAGTGGAGTAGATCTGCGACTGGGATCTGAATCCATGAACCTGGGCTGCCAAAGCGCAGCGTGGAACTTTAACCACTCGGCCACGGGGCCAGCCCCCATGAATAATGTTTTTTAAAAGTTTTAGTGGGATAATGGCATTAGTTTATGTAAGAAATATTCCTTATTCCGAAGAAATAGGTGCTAATGTATTTAGAGGTTACGTCTGCAACTTTGTTTAAAATAGCCAAGAAAAAAAAGTATATGTATAGAGAGAGTGAAAGCAAACCTGGCAAAATGTGAAGAGTTGGTTAATGTCAGTAAACAGCATGTGGTGTTCATTGTATATTCTTTCAGCTTTTCTGTAGCTTTAAAATATTTCAAAAGGAAGCGGCCAGCCCAGTGGCGCAGTGGTTAAGTGCGTGCATTCCGCTGCGGCAGCCCTGGGTTCGCACGTTCGGATCCCCGGTGCACACCAACGCGCCACTCGTCAAGCCATGCTGTCTTGGAGTCCCATATAAAGTGGAGGAAGGTGGGCACGGATGTTAGCCCAGGGCCAATCTTCCTCAGAAAACAAAAAAGAAGAAGAAGAGGATTGGCATCGGATGTTAGCTCAGGGCTGATCTTCCTCACACAAAAAAAAAATTTTCAAAGGGAAGTTAGGAGAAAGCACTTGGGGAGAAATACACTCAAATGTAAACAGCAGATATGTTTGGGTGGTAGAGTGGGTACACCCACACTTTTTCTTTCCACTTTTCATTGTTTTCAAATTTTTCTTAAGTTTCTATAATTTTTATAATTTATAGAAAACAATTTTAAGAATTAACTGAGAAAGAATTTACACTGGCAGAATTGATCACAGATTTACTCAATATTGAAGCTTAAAAATAACTTTCTTTTAGAAGGAAAAAATTAGAACTAAAATGAGACAGATTGTTTTCTAGTTTTATAAATAGTGGCTTTTTGGAAGTGCACTATATTAACTTTCTGTGCCCTATATATATGTGCCAACATAGAAATATGCATATTTACCCATATTTGAGCTAATTCTGATAAAAATTATTTCTTGTTTATTTTGGAACAAGTTTTGTGGACTTAAGCTAGGCCCAGAAGATAGCTAGAAACCAGATAAGCAAGAGGAGACAAGTTCTGTAGTGGAAGTAAATAGTATGAGTAAAAGCTTGGAGAAGAAAAAGAGTATAATATATTTGGGAGACTTTGAAGAAGCTAGTGATGTTGAAGGTTTACACTGATGAGCATTTGGTAGGTAACTGAAGTCTGTATTACAGAAAGCTTTAAGTACCAGAAAAAAGACTTTTGGCTTTACCTTATAGAGAATATAAAGCTATTCAAAGTTTTTGAGTATTAAAGTAATATTAAGAAAGTATGTTTTATCGTTTATCACTTACAGATAATAAACAAATTAGTCACTTACCTCTCCAAAGTAAAAAAATTTTATAGCTCTGTGTAAAGTCAACTCAAAATAATCACATCTCTTTTCCTGAATATGTTCTTTCTCATTTTCTCTCCCTCTACTTCAGATTTGGTAACAAAGAGGAGTACATGGCGTTCATGAATGATTTTTTAGAACATGAATGGGGTGGAATGAAGCGCTTTCTCTTGGAGATCTCTAATCCAGACACCATCTCAAACACCCCAGGCTTTGATGGTTACATTGATCTAGGCCGAGAGCTTTCAGTTTTGCATTCCTTACTGTGGGAAGTAGTTTCCCAACTTGATAAGGTAAAGTAGGCTGGAAGGGTAATGGGAGATGGGAGGTAGAGAACCGTGATACACCTGAGTTCTGGAGAGTGTCTACAGAGTGGTAGCTTTCTACTAGTTGAAAGCAACCTTTCGCCCTAGAAGTCTGGAAGTAAATGGTTATCATTTCTGAGTAAAATATGTGCCCTACAAACCAGGAAATTCTAGAAAGCCATGAAATTATTGAAATATATTTTTAGGTAATTACCTTAATAAATGGAGTATATATTCCTATAAATAAGTATATGTGTATATATTTGTGTATGTATGTTTGTGTATATATAAATATAAACACACACATACACTTAACCTAGAAACTGATATCAAATATTGGTGTATGCAGCCTTATTCATGTATAGTAGAATGAGGTGAAACCTCATATGGTAATTTCTAACAAAAGTGTGGACTTAGAAAAATATTGAGACTATCGTGTTTAAGTAATTTTACCCATGGGATTTATTTTTATCATGCAAGTCAGAGAGTTTAATGTAACTGTTAGTACTACAGAGTTACATGGATCTGAAAATCCTAATGTTTTCTTTCCTCTACAGATGTGAATTAAGAATACAGAAAACAATTATCATTTTTCATCATTTATTTTTTGACTATAAGCTAAGAATTTTATTATATATCATATTAATAACTAAATGTATACCATGCCAATCATTTTCTTCCTCCTGGAATTTTGCAAAGAGGAATATTTTGTAATGGAAAATAGTTTAATAGACTTTGGCTAGGTTTATCACAATAATTATTTATTGATGTTTTTGTTTGCTACAGGTACTTTATAAATATGTGTGGTGGTATGTGTTAGAATAACTTCAAAAAACAAAGTTATTTTTCTGTGATAAGAATTTGTTTTCCTCCATTTTCCTATTATCCTTAAAAATGTTGCACCAATAAATTGGGAGGAGGAGTAAAACCTATTAATAAAGACCAGTTTCCTGAAGAAATGTAAATGATAGGGTGTCCAGTGGTGCTTAAAACATTTGTAAAATAATAAACTGTTCCTTATTCTTGAGGGCCCCTTCTTCACTTCTACAAACACTAGCTAGATTTTAAGTTGCAGCTATGCTGAGGATAAATTTCTTGAATAGGAATCATGGCTCAAGAGAGCTGAGCAAGCAAAGACATTCTTCAGATGGCATTTGTACCCATTTGAGCAGGGGGGAAGAGTCTATTAGTTGTTGAGAAGACAAAGAAGACCCAGAGGCAGCCATGTAAAACAGTTGAGGGTTCCCATAAGACCCCATGAGAATAAGAGTACCCCAAAGAAAAACATGATTGAGATGGATAAAGCAAGTACTAAAAAATTATTCTTTGTTGAATAACTGCATCAGTGGGATGCAGATACAGTTATCATGTAAAATCAGCCTGGTTTATTCAGGGTTGAGGTCTTTTTAACAGGCTTTGCTGTGTAAACACACTTTCTCCTTTTTAATCTCTGTTTGGTCCTGGGAACCAGGATTACATCTAGACATATCTCACAGAGAGTTTACTTAATTTTGCTGTTTAAGAAAAAAAATTGTCTTGCTGATGCCAACTCAGTTGGCAGTAGGTCAGGGTTCCCAAGATTAAATGGGATAGTGAATGGCAGTATCAACTGTGTGCCTTGCAGTGCTCTGGACCCCTGAATGCAACACCTTCTTGTATGTTGGCATGCATTTCTTTCCTTACATGATCCCTTTTCTTTGCAAGTTTCATCACACTAGCCAATCCTCTGGTCTCGAAGTCCTTTTTGGTTAGAAGGTATTTGGTTCTTCCCCAACCCTCCCCCACCTTGAGCTACTCGTGTCCCAAAGATTTAGTTTGCTTTGCATGCCTATTTTAGTTGGAATGGCGATAGTTTGGTTGTTTTGAGCATGTCTTTTAATTTTTATTTGCATAATCCTAATTTCTATTTCCTTTCTTTCCTCGATGTCTGCTGCACTTTGTTTCGCCTCCTCCATTCATCTCGACGCCATGGTTCCGCTGCTCCATAACAATGCATTATGAACCTGCCACTCCCATTTGCAAACACCTACCCTTCCCTCCAACCTCCACCCCTCCATCAATGGGCATCGTTGTCCCAAAAACAATCTGTGGTGGATATCGCAATGCTTATTATCCAATTAGGGTGAAAATTCCTTCCTACAGGCGACTGTGGCAAAATTGGGACCTCTCCCTCGTGTTCTTGCTGATATTACCAAGTCTCTGACTAATCCTACACCAATACAACAGCAACTGAGACGCTTCACTGAGCATAACTCCAGTCCAAATGTCAGTGGAAGCCTCTCCTCTGGGCTGCAGAAAATATTTGAAGACCCCACTGACAGGTATGAAAGAGAGAATTTAAACTACTTATCTGAGAGAGAGATAACGTTTAGAGATTTGGCAAAAATCTGTTTAACTTATTTGTTGAATCTACAACTTTTAAAGTCATGAGCAATTGGAAAGAATCATCTGACCTGAGATAAATCCAATTGTTTGTCCTAATAATACGCAAGATCTAGGATACTTATTTTCTAGAATGATATTGTAGAATTATAATATATTCAACAAATATATAAAAAAAACCTATTTCCTGCTTGATGGAAGACTAAGAGCTCTATGAAATTGATATTTTCATATATTGTAGCACTCAAAAATCTGGAGAACTTCAGTTAGAACCATCTTTTAGCTGGCTGTGTCAGCTGGACAGTAGATACAGTGTTGATGCTTAGACTTTATTTTCTGTACTGGCAAGACTGTGCCTTTAGCAAGGACTCTTTGGTTGTGCACTCGGAGCTTCTCTTCTTGAAAGTATAGACAGAATCAATTAAATATGAATTGGAATACCTTGGGAGGGTTTAAAACCTAACTAGGAAATGATTGGAATACTAGGAAAAATTGAAGATAGTGGTGTATATATAGTGTTATTCTTCACCTTTGGAGAAAAACTAAAAATGTTGGATTTTATTCTAAGAATTGTAATGATGAAATCTGAGTTTAGAAACCTATGTAAGTACCCACATTGGGCCTGAGAGCCTTCAGAAGAGTTCATACGCCTTAGTTGAGGAGTCTTAATTTTGTTGGATTTGCCTCAGGAGTAATTAAGGTTCTTTCCTTTTCCACAGTGATTTGCATAAACTAAAATCTCCAACCCAGGACAACACAGATAGCTATTTCAGAGGGAAAACATTGTTGCTGGTTCAGCAAGCCTCCTCCCAGAGCATGACTTATTCTGAAAAGGATGAAAAGGAAAGTAGCCTTCCTAATGGTCGGAGCATCTCCCTCATGGACCTTCAGGACACTCACGCTGCTCAAGTGGAGCATGCATCTGTCATGCTTGATGTGCCTATGCGCCTGACCGGAAGCCAGCTTTCCATAACCCAGGTGGCCAGCATCAAACAACTGCGGGAAACCCAGAGCACTCCCCAGAGTGCACCCCAAGTGAGAAGGCCCCTGCATCCAGCCTTGAACCAGCCAGGCAGCCTCCAGCCCTTGTCATTCCAGAATCCTGTCTATCACCTCAGTAACCCAATTCCAGCAATGCCAAAGGCCTCTGTGGATTCTAGTTTGGAGAACCTAAGCACTGCCAGTTCCAGAAGCCAAAGTAACAGTGAAGACTTCAAACTCAGTGGACCCAGCAATAGCAGCATGGAAGATTTCACCAAACGTAGCACTCAGAGTGAGGACTTCTCCAGGCGGCACACTGTGCCCGACAGACACATACCTCTTGCTCTGCCACGGCAAAATAGTACTGGGCAGGCCCAAATTCGAAAAATGGACCAGGCTGGGTTAGGTGCCCGAGCCAAAGCCCCACCATCCCTGCCACACAGTGCTTCCTTACGTAGCACAGGGAGCATGTCGGTGGCATCTGCAGCCCTGGTGGCCGAACCTGTGCAGAATGGGAGCCGGTCCCGGCAGCAGTCCTCTTCCTCCAGAGAGAGCCCTGTTCCCAAAGTGAGAGCAATCCAGAGACAACAGACACAGCAGGTAGGGGTCAGTGCTGGAGGGGTCTTGCTTCTACTTGGTGCAACTGTTTCCTCATTTCTTTGTACATAAATCATTGGGAAATCCAATTGCTAACAAGGTTTCCCCTTAAAAATATTTTCTGCAACCTTTAAATGGAAAGAGGAAATGAAAAGTTTGGGAGCCTTCTGGCTACGTGAGGTAGCAGAATGTAGCTTGACTCATTACCCTTAAGAGGGTACCTCTAACAGCCACGCAGAGGGCCTTCCCTTCTCTTCAAGCAGCAGAGCTGCTCCCTCAGTTTGCACTGAGAACAGATCTGGGATGTTGAATGAATAATTAGACTTAAACTACGAACTCTGTAGGCCAAATCAACTAGAATATATTTTGGGAATCTGGACATTAATCTTCCTTAATTTTTTTTTTGTTTAAGCTTCCAGAATTAGGTTTTGCATTCTGAGCCAAGAATTTAATGTAACTGCTCTCTACTCCATCCCCTAACTCCCTCTGGAAATATCAAGTCCCATGTGCCTTTTCCTGGAAATGGCTAGAAAAATAAACAACTGAACACCTATAGAGGCAAGGTAGAGGAGAGAGGTAAAAAAGATAAAAACACAGGTGGTTGGCAAGTATTCTAAACATTTACAAATCCCTTATATTTCTATTTACTTGGACAAGCCCAGCTAGTGTCACACCTGATCTTAATATAAGATTTCCAAACGTTTTTCTTAAGACAAAAAGGTTTCCCAAGAATTTAATCATTTCTTCCTTACGTATTACATTTTGAGGCAGCAATACATATTTTGCTCTTTGAAACAAACTGATAATTTTAAGAATTCATATATCTGTATATGTGTGTGTATATATATATAAAATCTTTCATCTAAAAAATTTGTCTCCTAAAAAGCTGTATTTGTTGAATTTTTTTTGAAACCTAATCGTAATTTATAAGTCCTAGGGAGCTCTGTGATTAAAAAGAGTTCTGTGACAAATCCTTTTGTCAGCAAAATCACTGGTCAGAGGAGACTGCAATAAAACCTCAATGTTTCTCTTTAATATATTTGCGTTTTTATAGGTAGGCATTTACTGATTTGGCTGCTTCTGCCTCCACTCTGCTGTGATCAGAGTCCTTACCCCTACTTTGATAGTTATCGTTTAAAAAAATTAGAACATTTACAGAATCCTTGGATACAGAAGTAGAGGAAAGGATGAAAAGCATGAATAACTTAAGCTGATTCTGGTAGCCAACTTCCTGGCAAAACCTCCTGCTTGGTCATTCTTTGCTAAGAAATAAAATTTTTCTTGTCTTAAATTTTTCATTTATATTTTGTTATATTTCCCAAAATTTTACCAATTCATTTGATTTAATAAGCATTTTCACTAAAAAGGAAAAAAGATTACATATAATATAATATTTTCCCTTTTCTTTAAATGAATACACTTGTTAAATGCTTTCTTATATATATGCACATACACGCACACACTTACTTTGTGTGTTAGGAGGCTATTGGTCATCCATGCCTTGTTGTGAATTTGTTTCCACACATTGCTTTTATCCTAGCTTCTAGTTGAGATCAACTACTTTCAGAGAATTAAAGTGTTTCTTGAGAGGAGAAAAGAAAGATAAGTAATTTTAGAGATGGAAAACTATGTGGAGGCAAACATCTTTTGGGGGCTTAGTGCAGCGTGAGGGTCCTGAGGATGAGATAGGGAGTAGAGAAGAATATCAGATTGGCACAAAGGGACAGGACAGGAGAAAGAGCCCTTCACTTGCTTTTCAAAAGTTGACTTAGGTCCGGCCCTGAACAGAAGAGAGGAATGCTTACCTATTCCTCCTGTATCATGCAATCCTCAATTCCCAGGTCTCATGACTCAGACTGGCTGTTTATAAGTATTACAAATTAAATAGCCTTTTGTGTGATCATCTGGAACCAGTTGTTATTTATAATATATGTGCTATGGGAAAATATAACGCCTATGACATAAGCACTCCATACATGTTTCTGTGGGTGAATAGAAGGCTGGCTGGATGATGGGAGGGAGGAAATGCATCCAGTCTCCAAACAACCAATTTAAAAATTTGTTATGCCACAGCCATTGATGAGTTGAGGAATGTCTGTATTATATTGGCGTCAAGTGGGGCACAGCCACAGTGAGACATCCTAGAACAGCTTTAAGTATTCATCTTTGTTTATGCCTTTGCTGGTACTGCCACTGCCATATCAGTTAGAGCATAAATCACTATATTTTGATTGCTCAAGTTTCTGGGTTTTCTGCACTGGCTTTTTCTACACAGATGGTTTATTCTTTTGGACTTGTTATTTTTTTATTCCTTATCTTTCTGTTTCTTGCTTGCTTTTCTCATCTCACTTCCATGAAGCCTCTGAAGTTCTGTATAATCAGCACATTTTTTTAGGCAACTTCTTTTACATATTTTAATTGCAAATTGTGTTGGAATTCTTCTCTCCCAAAAACTAGAGGATTTCTTTGTGGAAATTGTTCTGTAGGCGTCTATAATTATCAGTGGCTTTGTCCCATGCAAATTCCATTTGTATCTTAGCACAAAGGAGCAGCCATTGTTGGCAGTGTAACTACCTTCAGTCTTCTCTGTCTACTGAGTAGGAAGGAAGCAAATAAAATCCTACTGAAACAATCTACAAAGAAGGAATTTTTTTTTCAGGAAAATATCTTTTAATTTTTGATCCTTTTCTGCCTCTATTTGGATTTCTTTTTTCTTGTTTTCCTCTACACTTTGTTTTTCGTGTATCATGTACCCTGCATATAAATAGACTTTATTTACAATATATGAGTTGTTCAGCTCTAGCATACTACCTAACCTTAGAAATTCAAATTTGAAGAGGCCTTTAAAGTGGGTTTTTGACAAGCCTATCAGAATGATGCTACAGTTTTCGCATTTGGTTTTGTTGAACCCTCTCCTAACCAACCTCTTCACGAACTCTGAGTTTACTTATTAATTTAGTCAGCCATTTCTTTGATGTTGATAGCAGAAGTGTTATTCATTTATGGGAACCTGACTATTTCAGGTTATGGAGACGCTGAAACCAATAAGTCTCATTTATATCTAGTAAGTGCTAGCAAGGAACAGGGAACTGGCCTGTTCACAATTGTCTTCAGCATAGCCAAGCTATGACTAATTGTAGGATCAGTGAAACTGCTGTCTCAGTCACTTTTGCCTTAAAGCATTGCTACTTTTCCCAGAGAATCTCTGTACAGCTTTATCTCAAAAGGGAGATTCCTAACAGGAATTCCTGCTCCTTTCCTTTTTGTCTTTTTCATCCTTCATTTTCTTTAATGATCCACTGTTGGAGGTCAGTGGATATAAATGCTCTTTCTAAGGCTATAGCTAAGCAAATGGGATCTGAACCACTTGCCAACCTCTTTTCTCAATTTCTTTGACTATAAACTAGCGGTAATAACTTCTGCTGTCTATCTAGCTTATAAACAATATGGAACAAAAATTGAGGAAAAGCCTTTGATGCACCTCCAAAGGATTAGAGCAAAAATAGAGTATCCTTCCCTTAGTAATAAATTGTACTTTAGAAATGAATTCTAAAGAGAGTCCAGAGTATTAATAAAGGAATAATATTTTATTGAGCATCTAGTATGTAATTACATAGTCACTTTCATTCAAAAAAACTATATGATCTGGTGCCATGCCTCAAGGAGTGACAGTCTAACTGGGAAATAAGACCAGCACACACAAGACCAATGGAGAAAATGTAAAAGACAGTATATAATTTTTTCCTATGAAGAACATAATTGTTAAAGCAAAAAATAATTTTGAAACAAAAATCACCTCTATTTTCTTCCAGTCTAACACAATAACTGTTTTTGATTTGTTCAGTATTACTTTTCCATCTCTTTTATAATTATGTAAAGGTTTTATCATGAGTAGAAGGAATAGCTAATATTGGTCTGATTTATTTTTTTCAACAATTGTTAACCACCTACCTTATTCTATGGGAAGTGCTAGGATATATTAGGAAGTGGTTGAAAATGAGATTGAACCAATAAAGTAGGAATAGACCTGAATGCCTGGTTCCCATTGTGCAATCTCTCAGAATTCACTGGACATTGTTAGTCCTAAAGATATGGTAGCTACCACCATCATCAGTGGAATAAACCAACTCTTGTTTTTACAGCCTCTCAGTTAACAGTTAAAACTGAGATTACCCTAAGGAGTTGTTGTTAATCTACTTTTAGGGGCTGAGATCTCTCCTTGGTGTGTTCTTAGGAATACCATTAGTTTGCAGTGCATTTATAGGCATCCGATAAATAGTTACCCATAGCAAATCACAGGGCAAGAAAGTTCACTCAAGCAACATCTTGTTAACTATATAAAGCAGAAAGCTATTGAATTATCTGCCTTGAAGTAATAAATTCCAAACAGTGAAGTTGTTATCAGTTTTAGTAGCGATTTTATCTCAAACCGCTATGGAATAGAAAATCCTGGTTTCACAGAAAAGCAGCTTTCCTGTGCCCTGTGTGCTAAAGTGCTAAGATTATAAAATTAAAAAGGCATTTGTCTCCCTTAAATATTGACTTTCTATTAATTTTTTAAGGCTCAGAACTACATTGTTTTGCTTTCAGGTGTACATATCTCAAATAAAAACCTAAACTCCTTGTTAAACTATTTTTCTCTACCAATACTAAAGCAATTTATTGTTCTCTGCTTTTAAAATCCAGTCGGGGGAGAACGAGTATGTGTGTGTATGTGCGTCTGTATAACAGTTTACAAAGTGCTTTTACATGCTGTCTCATTTGTTTCTTATAATAACTTTTGATGTGGATAATTATTACCTTCCTTTTATAGATGATGCTATATTCTATAGGCCAGCATTCCCAAAGTGGGATACTCAAAATTATTTAGATATTCAAGGTGTTTGTTTAATTAATCATGTAATTATTTTAACACATATTAGAAAAATGTGTAACAATATAAAAATATATTTATAAAAATATAATATACGTAACATCAACTCATGATTTTACTGATATTATTGCTTATCGCAAGGACTTAGCTAACTGAAAAAGGTTATTTTAAAGAGATAATAAATATCAATGATAATGTGGTTATGACAAAAATAATGAAAGTGATCCACAAATGAATGAAGAGTAAGAAACACACATACCATAGTGGAGATGGAAGCAGACTTTTAAGAACTGAGGGTTCTAATGTTTGACGTGTTTATGTGTTTCTTGACACAGTGGAGAAAATGGCTTTAAAGAAGGAATTTCTAGAAGTCATTCACAATTGTTTATGTGTGCCTCAGTCATGAAGCCATTTTTTATTGATACATATCTATAATCTGTTCATAAATCAACTAAATGATGTGATTCTTCAAACCTTTAAGAAATACCCTCATGTTACTTTTGTATGTGTAGATTTTCAAGTCTCTCCCCACCCACCTTTGATAACCTTTTAGTCTCTGCAACCAATTTTTTTCATCTAGTCTTTCTAAATCTCAGAGTCATCCAAATACCCCTTCTTTTAGAATATCTGTCTATTTAGAGTTTACCTGGGTTCTATTCCAGAATGACATAAAGATTCTTAAGGTATACAGGGAAAATTCTCTTCAGTTATGAGATTATATTTGGTCCTCAAAGTAGAAATCCATTTTAATTATAGAAAGGCTAATTCAAATACAATGCTTTGCTCTTGCGCTTGCTTGCTCTCTCTCTCTCTTTCACTGTCTCTCTCTCTCTCTCTCGCTCTCTCTCTCTCTCTCTCTCTCTCTCTCTCAGGCAGGCCAGAGAAATAGAATTTGTTGTATATTTCCAGCATTGTTTGTGGAAAAAGCACTAATTTTCAGTAGCCTAATATAAATTGTAATATCCAGTGCCAGTTTTCTAAACATAAATATAGTAATAGCATCTAAGCTCTCTAATACCCTGTAGTTTCCGAAGACCTTTCATACACATTGTCTTATTCAATCCTTGCAACTCCCTATGAAATGGTCAGGATAAGTGGTGATGGTGGTGGTGATGGTATCCCTATTCAGTAGATTAGGAAAAGAGTATTTAAGAGATTAAGTGACAATTTAAGTGGCAGAGTTGCTACTCAAGACCAGAGTTCTTATCACTCTGTATATCTATATTGGAAAAGGGCAATTTATCTAGCTATCCTAACTTGATAGAAATATCCCTTAGACTAATTCGATATCCATTGTTTTGATCTTGTATTCATCAAGAAACTTTCCAGTCTAAAATATGGACTTCTGAGTGATCTTAACCCATCAAGAAGTCAGTGCTCTCTGAAAATGACCAGTGTCACTTTTTTTTTCACTTTTCTCTAAATGGTTAATGTGAAAATTAAGAATTCGGCATTCTGATATATAAATGGGCACTTTGTGAGTTTGTTGAGCGTTCATCAGTTCTTTGGTTCCTGATAATCTCTGGGTTAAATAGACATTTCCTTACCTGAGCAATCAACCATCACATTGTGCTTTCTTTCTCTCATTCTGTCGTCACTGGAATTTCATTAGGTAATTTGGGTCGCTAGACTAATTAACAATTTTAAGGCCTTGGCTTTCTTTGGAGGGAGAAAAAGGCAGGTTCTTGGATGTGATACATAGGAATTTCTGTTCAGAGTAGTTTATCCTTATACAAATGGATATTCTCTTTTCTCACTCTCAGCCCTGGCATTAATAAAATATTACTTAGAACTGAGGGCATTTATTAGAAAACAAGAGTCACAATTATGTCTTCCAAGAATAGCTCTCTTTGTGAAACATAACTTTTAGCAGATGAGCTGTTTTGGGAGATGCTAATAAATATTTCTGATGCAGGTTCAGTCACCTGTGGACTCTGCCACAATGTCCCCAGTGGAGAGGACAGCAGCCTGGGTGCTGAACAATGGGCAATATGAAGAGGATGTGGAAGAAACGGAGCAAAATCAAGATGAAGCCAAGCATGCTGAGAAGGTAGAACCTAGTCTGTCTTTATTGACTTATTGCCCCACAGTGATAGGCCACCAAAAGGTTTGTCTGGGCAAGAACATGATCTCCCCCCTCCCCAACTTCAACTCCATCTCTTATGGTAACCATCATATACATATCTATGTATAATAATTCAGTAGAGTCCTTACGTGAAAATATGCAGAAAATATCCGTCAAGCTGGGGTGGGAGAATTAGTTCTAATTTTTTTTTTTTTATGTAGGTTGCTTTAATTTGGAGAATACTCTGCTATTCATTTCTAGTCACTTTAGGTGAATATTTAGTGTTTCTATAAACTGGTTATTAGTCTTCAACCAAGGCCAAAATACCCTTGGACTAGACTTCCTTTCTATACCTTGGTAATGATTTTTTTTTCTTTTTGTCTTTTCTAGATAAAGAACTTCTAGCTCTATAGATGATTTTTAAAAGGACATTAACTATGTATTGTTTTGGTTTTATTTTATTTTTTTAAGAAAAGTTGACATGGAAAAAAAGGATTATCAAACAAGAACCTTGGCATCATGTATGACATTATCTCATTTAATTAACAACCAGGCAACTAGCTTCTGCTTATTTATCAGCATGATCCTAAACTATGCTTGTTGATGCATTCTACCTCTTCAGATGTCATAAAAATTGTCATCTTTGATCTTCTAGATTAACAAGCGTAGTTTAGGACTATGATATCAGACTATGATGAAGCTAATTGTCTAATTGTCAATTAAATGGGATATTATGTGAAAATAGATTGCATTTTACAAAGCACCATACAGATTTGTCATTAATTACTAATGAATTTAAGTGGAACATCCACAAGAATGTTTATGCTTCTCACCTCACATAGAAACTTGACATTCCAGTGTACCCAGACTGCAACCACAGAAACTTCAGTACAAGAAAGGACCATGTGGGCCGGCCCCGTGGCTTAGTGGTTAAGTGAGCGCGCTCCACTGCTGGCGACCCGGGTTCGGATCCTGGGCTCGCACCGACGCGCTGCTTCTCTGGCCATGCTGAGGCCGTGTCCCACATACAGCAACTAGAAGGATGTGCAGCTATGACACACAGCTATCTACTGGGGCTTTGGGGGGAAAAAATAAATAAATAAAATCTAAAAAAAAAAAAAAAAAGAAAGGACCATGTAACCAATTGAATTATATAGAGCTTTAGTGAGAAAACAGACGTGTTTCAGTAAGCAGTTACCAAATTGCGCAGATGAACCACTCCATGAAAATGGGCCCAGAGGCAGTATTACTGAGCACTGGAGAACGTGGAGGCCTTTTGCTTAGTGCTTGTGACCAGAATATTTTACACGTTTATAGTTGCGGGGAAAGCAGCAATACCATACTCTGCCATAAAATTCTATTTATTGATTTAATAGCTTCACATAATAGAAATGTTGCTTGTTCTATAAAGGACTGATTCTAGTAAAGTGAAGGAATGGCAGTCTGATGGGCCAAGATATGTCAGAGATCCTATAGTACAGGTGATGATACAGCAGTCTTTTCCCTTGTAGACAACTGGCTTATATTAAGTAGTTTGTCAGGCTTCTAAATGCTTGATCTTTTTTTTTTCTACTCCCATTTGATACCATCACAAATTGAATGTGGCTTGCAGCAACTGTTTAATATGAAGTTTAATATGAAGAGAGATACATAAATATATAGATTTGGAATGCCAAGTTAAGATTAAAAATGTAATTTTAGGAGGTGGGCAGAGCTCCATTACCATTATGCCTATTAATAGTTTTAAAGAACATTAGCCACACATGGAGTGGCAGCTCAGACAGCATCCAGCTACATTGCCTCGGGTTTCTTTCATAAAAAGTAAATCACTAACTTCTAAAACCGACATAACTCCAGTTTTTCTCTCCTTGTCTTTGGTGTCTCTTCTGCCCTGCTCTAGTATGAACAGGAAATTACTAAACTGAAGGAGCGCCTGAGAGTGTCCAGCCGGCGGCTGGAGGAGTATGAACGCCGGTTGCTGGTGCAGGAGCAGCAGATGCAGAAGCTGCTGCTGGAATACAAGGCCCGGCTAGAGGACAGCGAGGAGCGGCTCCGCAGGCAGCAGGAAGAGAAAGACAGCCAGATGAAAAGCATCATCAGCAGGTTAGAGGATCACCTGGTGGTGGTGGGTGTGGGCTACAAGGGTACTAAGAGGTGAGAAGATGATCCTAAAGCAGTGGCAGCAAAAGCTGTTTTCAACTCTACATATCCTTTGTGGTACTTGGTACAAATGTGATGACTGACTATATCTATCACAGTTTTCTAAATGTGAGACCTTAGTGCACTTCCTTTGAAGATAGAGGTAGTGTATTTTTCTTTAATCATAACAATTAGAAAAATTAAAAACTTAGTGACTCCTTTGAGAGGTCTTAGAGGACAACTGGATTTTAAAAAGCTAAGTATTCAGGGCCAGCCCGGTGGTGCAAGCCATTGAGTGTGCGTGTTCCACTTTGGCAGCCCGGTGTTCGCAGGTTCGGATCCCGGGTGCGCACCGACGCACTGCTTGTCAAGCCATGCTGTGGCGGTGTCCTATATAGACTAGAGGAAGATAGGCATGGATGTTAGTCCAGGGCCAATCTTCCTTAGCCAGAAAAAAAAAAGGGAGGGGGAAGGATTGGCATCGGATGTTAGCTCAGGGCTGATCTTCCTCACAAAAAAAAAAAAAAAAGCTAAGGATTCAATGTCCAAGACTAACTGAGTTTTTCACAGTGAGTCCAGAGACATGGAAGAGAGTTTCACTGGATATCTTTAGGGCCAGAGAACCGAGAGAGAGTGCCAAGGATGTCAAGAGAGACTAGGGAGGGGTCAATTTTACCAAACACTTACATAGCACTTACTATGGGCCACTTTTCTAAGCACTTTACAAATAATAGTTTGATAAATCTGTTAACAATAATTTGTTTAATGCCAACCTCTAAGGTAGGCATTATTATTATTCTCATTTTACAAATAAAGAAACGAGCAACAAATTCATTAAGTCACTTGCCCAAGGTCCCTTAGTGGTGCAACCAGGATTTGAAGCCAGAGTTCCTGAGTCCATGCTCATAACCACTGTGCTTCAGTATTGTCAAATACTATGGACAGGTCGAGTAGACTGAAGTTAGAAAAGGTTTGTTGTTTTGTGGTACAGAGGTAATTAGCAGTCTTACTGAGAGGTTCATGGAATCAGACTTCAGTGAGTTAACATGTGAATGGTGGATGAGAAAGAAAGTGGACCTACCAAGTATAGAGTACTCTCTGAGGAAACTTAGCTGTGCAGCGGACGAGAAAGAACAACTGTTACAAGGTAACTTATGATTAAGAGACGATTGTTTGTTTCTTCTTTGGTGGTTTGATATCTTAAGATGAAATAAATTGTGCTGAGGAAGGGATCTGATAGAGGAGAGGGAGGATATGATTATGGGAATACTGTTCCAGAGGAGATGAAAATGCACGGGATCCAGTCACAGGTGAAAAAATCAACCTTGGATGTCTTCTACCAAGGTGGGAGAGAAGAAAGAAAGCATGGTTGCAGATCTTATCTTAGGAAGGAGTGGACATATTGAACTATGATGAATTTTGGGTTTCTTGTCCTCTACACTAGCTAGCCCTCTCTTTGAAGATATTGATGTCTCCTTCCTGCCACATTCTAGGCTAATGGCTGTGGAAGAAGAATTGAAAAAGGATCATGCTGAGATGCAAGCAGTTATTGATGCGAAGCAAAAAATAATTGATGCACAGGTAAGCAGGCTCTGAATCTAGTAGAAGGCACTTGTTTATAATAACTGTTATTTCCTGACTTACTAGGTGACCCCTTTAAAGTAAATGCCAAGACATGTATTGGAAAATGGGGTCATTAGACAGTTCTCAGCATTACCTTTTGAAGATGAAAAGAGTTTCTATGTGACCTATATTACTTTTCTTTTACTGGTGACAAGTCTATTAACCCAGCAAAGTATCAGCGTGCTTAGTGCAGTTGCTTGATAAATCTCAACCTGGTGCATGATGGAGTTTACTTCTTTCCTTATGGAAAGGAGGGCATTCTCTAAGAGGGTAACTGTGAAAAACTCTAAGAGGGTAACTGCATGTGTCTGGCTTGTGACCTCCACTGACCATTGCTTGGCTGTGATGTTCACGGTCTTGTCAGTCACGTCCACTGTGCCATCAACCTCTAGCCCCAAACAGTAGTGGAACTGCAGGGGAAAGACAGGATTGTAGAAGGTACCTTTCCTTGTTATTCTTTTGGTTCAGGATTTGGCACTGATGCTTGAGATTTGCTTGGCTGCCGTTCTTTGTTGGCACTGTGCTTAAAGAGCCTCTTTTGGTTGATGAAATCAGAACCTGGGCCTCTGCTCACTATAACTTATACCTGTGACACTGATGGCACGATGACTGCTAAGAGCACATCACAGGGACATGATCGATCAGAGCAAAATCCAGGAGGCAGGAAATGTTTCTAATTCCTTTTCATTTTATCAATGCAAAATATAATTGTATTTCTTAGAGTAAAACAAATAACAAAAGGCAGGTGCATTTTTGATAGTGGCTGGTCTAGCCACTGATTGTGTCACCTCCCTGAAGACAACTCAACCAGGTTTGCATTTCTCACCATTAACCATATCACATCCCTAAGTTGTGAAAAAAAGGAGAGCAAGAACTTTATGTTCTACTGTCTTCTCTGCATATCAGCCAGTAGTCAGTCTATGTTAGAGGGCCCAGTATTCTTAAACATGTACTTAACACCTCCAGTCTAGTTTCCTGACAGGGTTAATGTGGGATGGGGTTTATTTTTCAAAGAAATTGGGAGTGAGGCTAAAAGCAGCCGTGGGAAGAATGCTCTATGGGCCTCATACTCCTTCAAACATACTAAACTTGGAAGACGAGTGTGAGTTGTGATGCTCCCTCACCAGCATAGCTCCCCAGAATATTTTAGACTCTTGAGCTCTATAGTTTATGGATCTTGAGACCTAAGAATCAGAAGCAAGATCTGCTGTAATTATCTTACTTGGTCCTTTTTTTTTTAAAACCTTTCTAGGTGGGTGTCCCCAAAGTGAGTGAGGTAAGGGTAGCAGAGACAAGACCGTCTCGTTGTATGTACTAAAAAAATTCATTCCAGAGGGGCCAGCCTGGTGGCATAGTGGTTGGGTTCATGCACTCCGCTTCAGAAGCCTGGGGTTCACAGGTTCGGATCCCGGGCGCAGACCTATGCACAGCACATCAGGCCACCAGTACATGGTGGCATCCCACGTACAAAATGGAGAAGGATGGGCATGGATATTAGCTCAGGGCCAAGCTTCCTCACCAAAAAAAACAAAAAACAAATTCATCCCAGAGGTTTAAGAGAAACAACCTGGATAAAGAAGGCAATTTAGTCAGGAAAACTAGTGTTGATAAGTTTTCACTTTAGGATTTTCAATATGACAATATAAAGCAGGGAGAGTTCTATTAATAAGTACACCAGAAGAGATTTTAGTTCTAATGGGATAAAACAGACAGTTTTAATCATTTCAGCTGGTCTAAAACTGTGTCAGTCTTAAGCAGAGGGAGCTTGGGTGTGTCACAGTCATGGCTGTATGCATACAGTATTTCCGTTTCCTCCGCTGCATGTCAAGACAGCCTCATCTTTAGCTTTGCAGATTTCTACCCCACCCCCGCCCCCTATTTTGACATCTAGGGCAAGATGACTGGGTATGAAGCAGAGTCATAGGCGTAGAACGTGAAAGCAAGGGAGGGAATCAGATTTATCAAGTCTCGAAAGCTCTGGAAAGTAAGGACCTTCTCTCAGTTAACCAGGTGGGTGTCACTGTTCAGAAATGGGAGAAATGTTATCCTCAAAGCATCAGTCAGTGTCAGGCTTGTGGTATGGCTAAGGCAGATAATATTTTGGATCCCTACCTTAAGGCAGTGGTTATCAATTAGTTTTATTCCCTGGACTGTTTTTGGTGGAACCATTGGCACCTTCCATAGATCAATTTCCAGCTGCTCCTACTGACCACTCAACAACAAGGACCACTCTCAGCTAATGGATCAAATCACACTGAGGTTGGCTAGATATAATAAATTACCTGTTCAAACATAGGCATTACTATATAATAAATTATTCTACCAGAGGCCCACTATGGATCCCTAAGACTACTTGGAGAATCCACTAGACCGCATTTTGAAAAACCGCTGCAATAAGAACAGCACAAATCATAAACATTAAAGATAGTTTTTAAAAAATTATAATCTCCTTAAAAGGAAGGTTTCCCAATTCCAGCTGTTGTCTTACTTGATACATTGAAATCCTGTATCAGTAAGTCTTTGAACATCCTTTGGCAAAAGACTGAACATCCTTTGGAAACCTTTGTAATAAATGACTTTTTATATCAGATCCTTTCCTTTGTAAGGATAAATCTTACATCTTAAGTGTTTGATGGAGCAGAGCAGCCCTTCTGGCATCATTTAATAGAATGAAGAAATGTTTGGGGGTGAAAGCTTCCCAGCAAGGTAACCCATACTTTTATGTCCCTGACATCTGCCTTGGTACTGCTGGTAGTAAGAAATATTTCTGAAATGAATGCAGTTGCTTTTCTTAAATTAGAGTTGAGCCCACATTTCTCAAAACACTAAAGGCCAGGTGCCCAGTGAACTGGTTTTCATCTCTTTCAGCAAACCTGTGCCCCTACAGGATAGGCTTCTCCCTGGATTCAGCTTCTCCGTCTCCATTCTAGAGTCAGTTCATGCTCCAAGGCCTGGCCTGGGTCAGCCGCTTTCTAGCTGGAACTGTGAGAGGATGGGCACTCCACTAGTGAGGGCAGAATCACCTGTCCTGGACCTTGTAGCACGGCCATGGGGATCCTGGAGATGGTACTAAGGGATCATTTCTTAAACATCAGCCGAGGGACTGTGCCACCTTTCACCTCCAGGATCTCTCCATGTGACTCAGATGGAGAACAGAAAAGGGCTTCCTCCCATGAGAAGCAAAGCAGCTGCCTAGTTACTGTTGCAAGTGATATCTCCGCTGTGTTAAATTACAGGTCATAAATGGAAATGAGATTATTCAAACAGGCAAGTAAACCCCGTCCGTTCTCTAGCTGAGCAGTTCCCAGCCCTGGCCCAGTGCACTGGCCTCCTACACATTCCAGCTCCTGCGCTCCCCACACCCGAAATCCTTCCTGTCAGGCAGGAGTGATTAGATTGCTTTGCCTTTCAATGCAGGCAGAATCAAAAGGTCAGAGCATCTTTTGCCAACTGAACTTGACTTTCAAAAGTCCCTATTTGATTTTTTTTTTTTTTTTTTTTTTTTTTTTTTTTTTTTTTTTTTGAGAGGTTGGCATTGGGGGGAGTTACAAAAAGG